CTGATTCTGATCTACCACCTCTCAGCGAGAAGTTCGCCTGATCGAATCTCAGCCGGTGGGGGGGGGGGGGCATTCTGGGTGGATGTTCTCTCAGTGCATTCTTTGGTTATCTCCGGGCACTCCGGTTTCTTCCCTCTGACCAAAAACATGCATGTGACTGATTGGTAACTCTAAATTGTCTCTAGGTGTGAGTGAATGGTTTGTCTCGTTTGTCTCTATATGTCCCTGTGATGGACTGGAGACCTGTCCAGGGTGTCCCCCACCTCTTGCACAGTCACTGCTGGACATCGGCACCAGTGACCTGTTACGAATAGGGGTGGATCTGACAAGCACAGACTCAGAAAAAGGTTTTTAAAATGTTTAAAGTTTATTTTTAAAACTGGCGGCATCTGACAGGAGGTTCTGGTACTGGACTGCTCTGGGGGAGACGGACGGATTAGTGGCTGTAAGCAGAGCAGAGTAAACAAGAATAAAGCCACTAACCTGTCTCTGGAACCAGTCCGAGATGTGGGCCAGGTGGGTTCCGGTACCGGTCCGAACCTCAGGAGCCGATAACATGTGCAAGGGCGCACAGAGCAGCAGCGCGCAGCGTGAGCAAAAACAAGCCGTGAGGCTGGATGGTCGAGCTGTGACGCTGAGGGGTTTGGGCAGCAGAACTTTATCCAGAAACAGGCAAGGGTCAAAACCAGAGAAGAATCCAGTCCGGGGGGCAAAAGCGAGAGCGAAAGGTCGTGGGTGAAGCTATGGTCAAGAACGATGATATGAAGAGGGAGCGCTGGATATCTATGGAAATAATCTATAATTATCTGGCACCGACTGAGGAGAAACAGGGAGCTTAAATAGTAGACTGAACAGGTGTTACTCGTGAACGTAGATTGTGGTAGATGGTGGAGGGGGCGTGGCGCAGGGTGACAGGAGCTGAATGAATGAGAGGGGAACTCAAAACTGAAGCAGGAAAAAACGTGAATGATCTAAAAACAAGGGCTGTGGTATAAGGAGCAGAGGCTTAAACAGATGGGGGGGTGGGGGGGGGGCAGCGGGGGCCGCTGAGTGTGACAGTGACCCCTGTTACCCAAAAAGGAAGAAGTGGATAAAGATAATGGATGGATAGATTTCCTACTTAACATTTATTCTTATTACCAGTAGTTGGAGATGATGGGCCTGTGAACGGAAGGTTGTCGGTTCAACTCCCAGTACAGACAACATCAAAATGTGGGTGGGAAATGTGAAACACCCATACCTGTTTCCACCCTCATTTGCACCACTCTGTGCCCTTGAGGAAGGTACTTAACCCCCATCATCTGCTCCCCTGGGCGCCCTGATGGCAGCTCTCTGCTCCACACAGAGGGCTGTGGTAGCTCGGTGGTCTGTGGTTGTGTCAGGAAGGACATCTGGCATAAAAACAATAGCCAAGTCTTCATGGGAGTTAATTTGCTGTGGCGACCCCTGAAGAAGGGAGCAGCCGAAAGAAAAAAAAAAATTCTTATTACTTTTCTTTGGAGCAAACCTTCTAAAAGTGTGTTTCTTGTATGAACTGCAGGTTTTGCATACATCTGAGTTTAAGGACGTGTGTTTGTCCCACTGCTGTTGGCTGTTTGGGTTCAATAAGTATTGAAAACATTAAAGTGATTTCTTCTGGGATTTACTGTGCAACGATTCTCCCTCTTTCACTAAGCTCCTTTTCTTTAACCCTCTGAGAAGTTTCTGAAACATTTAGGTGTGCACATATAAAAGCACGGGATGGGATGATCCGTTCAGGTACTTAGAGAGAGGAGAAGAAGCTGTTGGATTTACGCAGCGATGGATCTTCAGATTTGCTTCCACTCTTTTCTCCTTTCCTTTTACCTAAACTGATAGATCTTTTTTCCATTTATTTATTTATTTTTCTCCTGTTTGTCCTTTAACAGTTTCTTTGATTTTTTTTCTAGTCTTTTTGTCCCCTGTCATGGATGGTCTGTCCATGATGTGCGCATGATAACTTGAAAATAAACAATGAACCAGCTTCCATTTTGCTGTGTGGTGCAGATGTAAGAAAGGTTCCTTTTGAAATTTGGGTTTTCACCAGTGGTGATTTTAGCCTCTTTTGGGGGGTGCTCAAGCACCCCTAAATTTTAACTCAACACCCTTGAAAAATAAATAAACCATCATTAGGATTTTGTAAGGAAGCTCAGTTCTCAAACCTTAGATTCACCAAAATATTTAATACAAGTGGACTAAATGATGATACTCTTAAACGGGCCATTAAAATCTATGATTTATTTATTTTTTTGCACAAGTTGGATTCTTGCCACCTGTCAATCAATCCAGTAGGCACGTCAGCAACTGACCAATAAGCAATCTCAATTTTCCCTGAAGTGAAACGCCCCTTACCTGCAGGAGCTCCACCACCTTTTCCTCGACATTGAAATAGTTTTGCATTGTGAACGCTTTGCGGTCATTGAGATTTCATGAAAAATCATCAGAACAAATGTTTAAACATTGTCAGTGGAGAACATTTAATTCAGACATGTTACCCTGAGTGTTTAGAGAGTGGAATACAGTTTATTCCATCTCCAAAAACTAAACAGTCTGGAAAAATGCAAAAGATGATAAAGGCTGGCTGCCGACCTGATGATCAGCCGATTACAAAAGTTATAAACAGGAAGTACATGTCCTGTATGCAGATAACTGCAGGTAAATCCTCCATTTTCTGTCATTATTACATTGTATACTTAATGGCTAAATTAAAGGTTAACGCTTAAAGCTACCATAATTTCCAGACTATAAGCCTCTACTTTTTTCACATGCTTTGAACACTGCAGCTTATTAATACTGCGGCTAATTTATGGAGGGTAGTTGTGCTTTGTTTTGTGTTATATGTAGATATATGTTGTAACTTCTGGTTGCATAAGTTTAGTCTTTGTTTGCCATGATCCTTTAAGAGTTCTGTTTGTGTCTGAGCTGCTCGTTTACATCCATACCATCTGAACACACCCGAGCTCGTCTGATCTCAGAAGCTAAGCAGGGTCGGGCCTGGTTAGTATTTGTCTGGGAGACCACCTGGGAATACCAGGTGCTGTAAGCATTTGCACTTCTCACCAACCTCATCATGGGGTGCGTTGTTCAAGCCAAGAGCCATTATCAGTACTGGGGACTAAGCACCCCTAAAGGTCAGATCCAGTGCTGTAGTCTACGTGATATGCAAGTATATGGCGTATAACCAGTCAAAATGCTTGGAAATTTCTGTATAACCACTTAAAAGTTCCCAGTGATACGTAACATACATGTTAAACAGCAGTTAAATAAACTCTTCTGTCACATCAGTCTCGTCTCTATGAGGCGCTTCTCTGTTTCTCTGAGCAGGAGCACCCGCTGCAAACACGCCCCCTTTCCTCCTGTGAGGCTCACTGCCATTGGCTGAGCGCCTCCACCGCTCTGCTCTGATTGGTCAGTTATTCAGCTGCTCCTGTGATTGGCTGGGGAAGTAGCAGCGGGAGCAGAAACATTCGCAGCAGCAGTTCCATTATTTTCAGTGCTTAGTCAATATGAAGAGAAATCAAGCTACACTTTTTAAATGTTTTTATAAACCAGCGTTCCCTGAAGTCACAGAGGCATCTTTAGAGAAACGTCTATGGACCAATAAACCTCCCACTTTGACGGCCGAAACCAGCAATAACGAGGCTGATGCCAGCGTTACTCCTGGTAAGTACAAGTGGCTAATAGTTAGCTGAAGTAAGCTGAAGTTAGCTGAAGTTAGTGCAGAAGTGTAAGCAGCTAATAATGAATGTAATTGTGGATGTATGATTAGACGTGGTCCAGCAGTAGATGCTAGTAATACAGGTATTAGGAAAACTTAAATTATACAATTATGATCATTTTATTTACTTGCAGGATGTGCTGTTTGCAGTAGGATAAAGTCAACCGATGTCCTGATAGAGAAGAGGATTTCCATATCTGAGGAGTGGGTCTCCTTTCAGATCCATTCAGGCTCAAATGAGAACAGAGAAACAGCACTGTCTTCACTCCGGAACAAGATTCTGCAGCATGAGATGTCCAGGGCTCATGAAATAGCTCAGGAGCTTACACAAAAGGGTGGTCAAGATGTGCTTGTGGTGAGAGCTCTATCAGACACTGTGCTGGCTGAGACAGATGATGTGTTTAGAACAGCATACTAGACACTGAGTTAGTTCAACCTGTTTATTGTCTATCTAAAAAAGTTAAGTCAGGTCCTCTGGATGGGTTCAAAAATGAAAAAGATTGTAGAAATATTTTGTCTTTCATTCAAAAGACTTTTTCAGTCTGAGGAGCTGAATTAAGCTCAGTCTTATAAATAGCATTTTCTCATAGTGGATCACATGATCAAGTAGGACCATCAGCTCGTCCTTGATCATGTGAACAGCTAGTTCTGGATGTCAACAAACTGTTTGATCCACTTTGAGAAGGTGTTATTAGACTGAGCTTAATGCACCTCCTCAGACTGAAGACTTTAGGATGAAAGACAAAACATTTACAATTAAAAAAAATTTCACCCATCCAAAGGACCTGATTTAACATTTTTAGATTTTTCTATCTGGATTATTGAGAATGCATCCGGATGTTTTTTGTATAATTAATACTTCTGTACTTAATACTTAAATGTTTGCTTTGATACTGTTTTATAAATTCCATGTTCTTTAAGCCATCTGTTGTACAAAGTTTGTTGTATATTTATTGAAATCACTGGAAATTTTGAAATGTTCTATATGCTTAAAAATCTAAATAAATTGAAGATTACATTGTACTAACTGGTGTACTTTGGTTTCTAAGGACAGTATAACCACTACTAAAATATAGAATACACCACTGGTCAGATTCTAAATCACCTCAAAATCTAAGCTAGATTATGGCAAGTACAGCATAATCTTTGGTGGCCAAGGTCGCTACCCCCCCCCCCCCCACACCGTTTCCTCCACTGCACCTGGTGGGGGATAAATTGTCTCCATCCACTCCAGGATCCATCTCTCTGTGCTGCTTCAGATAAGAAAAAACAAAGAATAAAACCTCCCTCTGTTCTTGTCATTGTAACTCCTCACTTGAACATCTTGCACCAAAAACATTTAGTTTTACGTCATTCTTTGTTCACTTCCAGTCCAGAAAAACACTCACCTCCAAAACTTCAAACATTCACTGTTCAAACTCCTCAGAGTCAGGGGACACTGCAGGTCTCGTTTGTCTTTTCCATGTTCTCTCCCCCTCCTCATCCTCACCATCGTGGGTTTCCCTGCAGGGCTCTGTTCCTGGGTTTGTCCAACAACCCTCATATCTCTGATTTACACCTGGACATCAGCAGCTGTGAGGTACGCTCTGCTCAGCTTCACTCATCTGCTTTTCAGATTACATCTCCAAAGTCTCGCATGAAGTTCCTCTCCTCTCTGTCTTCCTCCCACAGCTGAGGTCAGCGGGGGCTGCCGTGATCCAGGAGCTGTTCCCTCGCGTCTCCTGCGTGGGGACTCTGGACATCTCTGAGAACGGTGAGAAATGGTTCTTTCACTCACACCCACTGGGGATGACGCTTAGATCGAGGCCATTTGGACCTCTTCATCTACAACTTGTAACATAAAACACTTCTTTTAAAAGAATACCATCATGAAAAAATTAATGTTAAAGTGAAAAACTCTTAGCAGATTAAAGGACAGATGATGGTTGAGCAGCAGCATCAGATTAACCACAGAGTCCTGGGTGGAGCTGGAGCACTGTAGGACCCAGGAGGTGCTGATGTTGGCAGAATTGGATCATGGCTGACATGGCTCAGACGCCCTGGAGAGTCTGATGACAGTGAGATGGGAGATGTGTGTGTGTGTGTGTGTGTGGGGGGGGGGGGGGGGCAACAAAAGTAAAACACTCATTCTCAAATAGTAATAAATTCAAAATGTCTTATTGGCTCAGAAATTATGCCGAATGTTCTGTGGCTGAGAGCAGTGACGATGGAAACAGAAAGAAAGAGTAGACCTGCAGAGCAGATGAGAAATCTTCTGTTTTACTTGAACTTGTTGTTTAACTCCAAATCAAACAACATTTATGATGCAAAGATGATTCTGGAAGTGCACCCCTAAAACAGGTGAAAACCTAGAACAACATCTATGATACCAAAGTTCATGCTCATTAATCCAGGTATAAATCCAACAATGTTCAATCAGGTCAGTCCTTTGGATGAAGGACAAAACGTCTCAGCAACAAAAGAAACCATCCAGATGACCTGACTGAACATTGTTGGAGCATCCGTGATGTTTCAAACCAGGAATGAGTAATCTGTTAGAATGAGTAATCTGTTAGAATGAGTAATCTGTTAGAATGAGTAATCATAGCCAGATTAATGACGTGGAGTTGGAACAGCTATCCTGCAGACCTGGATGGACAGGGATTAGGTTTTCCCCTCTCTGCTGTAAAACACGAGGCTGCAGCTTGAAAACATGAAACATGGATTTATTTATGAAGCAACAAATGATTTTTATTTAATATTATATTCTCAGCAGCACGGTGGCGCAACTGGTAGAGCTGCTGCCTCTCAGCGAGAAGGTCCTTGGTTCAAACCCCGGTCCAGGGGCCTTTCTGGGTGGAGTTTGCATGTTCTCTCCGTGCATGCGTGGGTTTTCTCCGGGTGCTCCGGTTTCCTCCCACAGACCAAAAACATGCATGTTAGGCTGATTGGTAACTCTAAATTGTCCCTAGGTGTGAGTGAGAGAGTGAATGGTTGTTTGTCTCGTTTGTCTCTATGTGGCCCTGTGATGGACTTGCGACCCGTCCAGGGTGTACCCCGCCCCTCGCACAGTGATTGCTGGACATGGGCACCAGCGACCCCCGTGACCCAAAATGGAATAAACGGGTAAAGATAATGGATGGATGGATGGATGGATTTTATTCTCATCCATCATAACTCCAGCTCAAAAATTACATTTATAGACACGTTTAGGGGGGACTTGAGCTAATTTAATGAATCTAAGAAAATAACTAAAGGAAAAAGTTTTTTTTTATTCCATCCATCCATACATTCATTGTCTTGGCGTAATGGATCATCACGGGGGCAGCAGCTTGAGCAGGGAGGTTCAGACATCTCTTTCCACAGCACCTCTTCCAGCTCTTCTGGGAGGACTCTAAGGTGTTCCCAGACCAACCGAGAGACGTAGTCTCTCCATCGTGTCCTCGGTCTTCCCCAGGGTCTCCTCTTCCCCAGGGTCTCCTCCCAGTCAGACATAAAGCACCTCCCTAGGGAACGTAGATCGACCGGTAAACAGAGAGCTTCACCTTACAGTTCAGCTCTCTCTTCACCACAGTGGACCGGCACAGAGTCCGCAATACTGCAGACACTGCACCAATCCATCTGATCATCTCACGCTCCATTCTTCCCTCACTCGTGACCAAAACCCCGAGATACTTGAAATCCTCCACTTGAGGCAGAACCTCAAGGGGAGTGGTGGTGCAGAGGTTACAGAAGATGGGCCTGTGATCAGAAAGTCGCAGGTTCGACTCCCGGTACCATCAACATCAAAATGCAGGTGAAAAAAGGTGAAACACCCACACCTGTCTCCACCCTCATTTGTCTCACTCTGGGTCCCTGAACAAGGCCCTTAACACCCACCATCTGCTCCCCAAAACAGGTCTCTCTTGAAAATGAGATCTCATGACTCAATGAGACTACCTGTATAAATAAAGGGTAAATAAAAAAAAGAGGCAGAACCTCTCCTTCGACCTGAAGAGAGCAACTCCCCCTTTTCTGACTGACAACCATGGCCTCAGATTTTCTTCTTATCCTGCATTTATTTAATTTAATTTTATTGTTTTCTTATCCTCCTGTTCTTGTCTTGAATGCAGGGAGATGGACCCTTTTTTTGGAGTACATGCATTGAAGTGGGTCATTTAAATCTTTTGGTACCAGGTCCATGGATGGTGCACTGGGGTGGGGTGTAAAATGAGTAAATAACTAACTTTAGCAGAGATTTTTTCCCCTCATTGGTCTGTGGTTATGTCGTCTAAAATCAGTGTGTGATGTTAAAAAGTAGGAAAGCACATCAGGCTTTACCCCCTACAGGAAACAACAGACGTATAAAGCATGAAGGGATGGTGTTAGATCGTTATTTAAAGTTTTGTTGGATCATTATTTATCAAAAGCAAACCTTTAAGATCATTGTGTGAACGCTGATTCAGCATTAATGTATTATTAGTTTAAAGTGTTCATGATATTATCATAATTTACTAAAATGGTGCCGTTTATTTAAGTTGTGTTTGATATTTGAACCCATTGAGTGCACAGACACAAATTAGGCCAATTGCTTTTGTGGAAAATAAATAATTGTTCTAAACTTAAATAAAAACTCTTAAAAGAAAACCAGAGACATTTCTCTTTTAGCTCAAAACGGAGCGCGAGGTTTATTCTTTCTGCAGAAAGGAGTTGCTGCCTGCGTGGTCAGAACACAGCACACTGGGTTCTTAAAGAGACAGTACATATTATTTATACATGTTTCGTGCGTCACAATAAAATTCTATCATAATGGGGAGGATAAGTTCCTCAGGTTGACACTATACACAAGTTCTTGTTATCAGTACGAGATGATGTTATTCTTCTTGTTGAAGCCGTGTTCTGTAACAAGTCTTCTATCCATGTGACTAGAACATTCTGAAAAACATTGTGGAACTGGTATTTTTTAATTAGATTTGTAACAGTCTTTTTTCATGAGCTAGAACATTCTGAAAAAGAAAAACATTTTGATACGAAAAGCGTAAAGTTCTGTATCTTTGCCTCTTCTGCGGGTGGTGGAATACAAGGACGTTTGCAGGAACAGGACAAAAGTTCACATTTACAAGAGTTTACCAGAGTTCACATACACACACCAACTTTGAAAGTCTGCAGAATGAGCATGGATTAAATAATATTTAAACAATACATGTTAGTTTATTAATTTTTTCACACTTTTTTTTAGTTTTTTTTTTTTTAAATGGTTTTAACCTTTTACCTGCGGGTATAAAATGGCGCTCGTCCTAAATGTCCGTACTTATAAGACTGGACTCCCACAGGAAGTTTTGACCACGTTATGAGCTGCTTAGCTGCTGGAGTCATGTATGAGAGGAGAAGTTGAAAGAAGCTCTGTTTACCTTGAAGCGGCTCCATGCTGGGGCCGAGCTTCGTGCTTTGATCTTCTTGTAATTGGAACAAATCTGTTTTACATCTTTTCTATTTACCTTGCTAACCATTTTCTGAAGAAAAAAAAAGCCAAGCTGGAAAACTAAGTCTATGAGCTGAGTAATTCTCCTGATGCCAGTAGCAGAGGAGCGTCAACACAGCTGCTGTTTTAACGGATCGTCAGGAAGCTGAAGATGAACCTCCTCCATTAAAGCACTTTTCTTTTCCCTCCACCGATGAATGGAGCATCTCAGTCTTGGATGCTGTCGTGCTTTGCCATGGTTACCATGTCCTCCAAGCAACACCCTCCAATTTTTTTTTAGCTGGTTGTAAAAGAGTGAGTGGGCGGGGGGGGGGGGGGGGGTTAGTTGGGAAAACTTTAGGATTCCAGTGGGAGGTGAATTTTTCTTTCTTCCAAAATGGACCGTCATTAAAGAACGAGCTCTGAGAGGCAGAAATGTTCACATTAAATGATGAGTCACTGCTGCTGAACATGTCTGATTTACAGAACTGCTAGAGTTTGATTTAAACAGACCAAATATTTAAGTTCTAATACATTTTAACTAAAGCTTTTCATGGAATGGTTGTGTAGCTGGTGTCTATGCTTCATGTGTGTCCTGCTCAGGTTTAGATGCCGACTTGTTGGCCGTCATCCCGGCGCTGTCCCGGCACCCATCTCTGAAACACCTGATGTTGGGGAAAAACTTCAACATGAAGGGAAGGTAGGGACCGGGCGGGGCGCTTGCAGGGCAGCTGGTGTTGAAGCCGGTGCAGATGATGAATGTTCCTCCTGTTTCTGCCTCCTCAGGGTGCTGGATGAAATCCTGCAGAAACTGGTCTATTTGGTGCAAGAAGAAGAGTGTGTGAGTTGGATTATGTAACATATTGTACACACACACACATGCGCGTATTCTCTGTGGTGTTGTGCACAGACGCACGCCCACGCACGCCTCTCAGATTCTGTTACCGCACAAACGTTTTCTGCACACACTTGTCACCAGGCTGAAGTCTCGTCCTCGTTTCTGCACGTTTCAGCTCCATCTCCCACCTGCCACACTCACAGGGTGCCAACGAGCCCACGGGTCATGGTGTTGTGATTCATTTGGTCGCACTTTATTTGGGGGTCTCCTGAGGGTCTCTCCTTTTCTCTGCTCTGCAGATCCAACCTGACTAATTGTTTCTCAAAGATTTACTGCCGTTAACGGAGCTGCTCATTCACACAGTCGAAGCTTGTGCGCACAAACACAGGCTGGTGATAATTCACTGTAAAGAGACAGTTCAGATCATTCAAACTGGACTTTTGTAGTAAAGTTATGAACAAAAAACATCTTATCTGTTGTACATGCAGTGGGCAAAATAAGTATTGAACACATCACCAGTTGTGACATGAAACTCTCAACAGATGTCGGTAACAAGCCATCCAGTCCAAAGACATCCAACCATAGATATCCGTAAATTAATTTGTAATAATGAGAAATGACAGAGAAAAGGTATCGAACACGCTTACAGAAATGTATTTAACACTTTGTACAAAGGCCTTTGTTGGTGGACCACTTCAAGACACCCCCTGTGTAGAGAAACAGGTTCCATGCATTGCTCAGGTGTGATTTTGGTCCATTCTTCAAATCCTGAAGGTTCTGTGGGCTCCTTCTATGAACTCTGACCTTTAGTTCTTTCCATAGATTTTCTGTTGGATTCAGGTCAGGTGATTGGCTAGCAGCTTTATTTTGTTTCTCTGAAACCAGTTGAGAGTTTCTTTGGCTGTGTTTGGGGTCTTTGTCTCACTGAAATATCCGCCCTCGTTTCATCTTCCTCATTCTGATAGATGTGTTACAACGGGAGCTGGATGCGGGTCCCGGGTCACTGCAGCTAGCTGTTGCTAGCCGTGGGCCTCAGGCCTCCTCTTGGACCCGAGATCCGCCTCCAGCCCACGCTGTTCCCCCACCTCAGACCTCCCTCAGAAGCAGCAACTCACACTATTAATAAATCAAGGAAACGTGAATTCAGTTTTACCAATTGAATTGAGGTCAAGGCAGGAAAAGGTTACAGTTTACAGCGCTGGCCGGCTCCAGTACCCGACGCGAGACCAGAGACCGGAAGGGCCGGATGTCCCACGATATTACAGATTTATAGGGCCTAGACTCCTCCTTCGCAGAAGGGGAGCACAACCTGTCACGTGTATGAGGGGAGTGACTTAGTGGGATCTCAAGGGGTCTTAACTGGTTTAACGTGAAGGAAGAAGTGAGACGGTGCTTCAAAAGCAAAATGAACCCTATTCCTTGACGGATATTGAATCCCTGGGAGATTTTTTAGAGGTGCTGGCCCTGTTTAACCCAGTCAGAACTGGGTCATAATTTCATTATAATCCCGTCTCTGAGCAGATCAAAAAGCCCAGGGTCAGTCTAGATCATTTACTAACAGATGGCAGCAGAGTTTTATCAAGAATGTCACAATTCATTTGTCCATTCATCCTTCCTGACTTTTGTCAGTGCTGTATGTTGGAAAAACAGGTCCGAACCATGATGTTCCTGCCTCCAAACTTCACTGGTGGTTTGGTGTTTTAGGGGTGATATGCAGCGTCTCTTGGCCTCTAAACATTTTGTTTATTATGGCATCCAAAGAGTTCAATACTGGACTCGCACTGTATTTGACAGGCTTGTCTAAATGTTGTTGAGCAAATGTTAAACATGCTTGAACCTGCTTCTTTTTCAGCAGTGGGGTCTTGTGTGGTGAATGTGCACACAGATCATGGAGGCTGAGTGCATTACTTATAGTTTTCTTTGAAACAATTGTACCTGCTGAGTCCAGGTCTTTGTGTAACTCTCCACAGGTGGTCTTTGGCTCTTGGACAACTATTCTGATGATTCTTTTCACTCCTCTGTCTGAAGTCTTGCAAGGAGCACCTGGTTGCAGATGGCTTACTGTTGATGTTTATGATGATGGTTTATGAGACCTCCTCCTCTGTTTGAAGTTGGTGTATCTCATTTGATGTAAACATCTTCCTTCACCTCCCTCTCAAACCATTTGTCCTCTCTGTCCAACATCTGGACCTGCTGGTCCTCAGCAGAGTGTCCCTTATCCTTGAGGTGTAGCTGGACCACTGAGTCTGGTTCTGAAGAGCTGCTCTCTGGTGTTGATCCATCTTTAGTTGAGTTTCTTCAGTATGGAGGTCTGAACGGCAGACACCACACCGCTCAGTCTGGGTTCGGGGGTTCTGTCCTTGGGATGGACCGGACTCTGTCTGAAGGTCCAGTTGGGTTTAAAATGTACCGGGATGTTGTGTTTGGAGTTTCTCAGATCAGTTTTGTGTTGTGTGTTTCCTTGACTGATGAAGCCTTCCGGATCAAAGGCGAAACGTTTCAGCACAAAAAAAAAAAGAAACTGTCCAGATGACCTGACTGAAAAATGTTGGATTTTATACCTGGATTATTGAGCATGGACTTTGTTGATTTCATATGGTGTTATCATGGCTTGGCTTTTTGTGTGTTCAATACTGTTTCCCTGTGTTATTTCTCATTACACAACTTAATTTGTGGACATTTAAGTAATTTTACTTAACCTGTGTGGATTGGATGCCATTAGAAATAATGTGTACTTAAAATATGTTGACATGTTCAACTTATTTCATCAGCTGTAGCTGTTTGAACAAGCTCAGTTTGACAAAATAAAGTTTCATTCTGACTGGACTGTTGAGCTGATGGCTGGTCTGGGTGTGCCCAAGAAATAAAAATGGATTGTTGCCATCTTTAACCCTTTAAGCCTCAAATTTTCTGCCTGGATATTTTTGCTTATTTTAATACTCTGTGTAAATATGTTTGCCCATTTTTCTGTAATAATTTTACAATAATTGGAGCTTTCAAAATCTAACCTTTATTTATAATTCACTGTTAAGTTTAAAATGAAGAAAAACAAAAACGAAAAAACATGTGTTGTAGGCGACACACTCCTAAAAGGATTAAACAACTCCAGGCTCAAAATATTTAAAGATGTTTTAAACCTCTGAGTGTGCTGAAGACATGTAATTTATTGAAATCAGCTCCTTGTCAAGTAAACCATAAAATCAAAGCTGGTGGAAACTAAAGCTCAAAGATATATGAACACATTTGTACTTTAATTTTTCAACCAAGCCTGTTATTAAAAAAACTAACGTGCATATACTGTTAAGACTGTATATGTCGCAAGCTGGTGGTGGTAGAACCCAAAGTGCAGGCAGACACGGGCAAATTCAAAAGGTAAATTACCGTAATTGTTGGGCGTTAGAACGCACCTGTCTCTAAGCCGCACTTATTGAATATAAGAAATCATAATTTTGTACATAAATGAGCCGCTCCAGTTATTGAGCTGCAGGCATCCGCCGTTCATCATCAGGATCTGTGCCCCCAACTTGCTCTGGGTGTGTGCAGCTTTCTTCTTGTAGTACAAGAATCAGCCAGTAAATGGTGTTTCACAGAATGTAGCTTGCTTTCAACACGCTCAGACTGCAAGATCGTCATCAGTATCCATGAAGCTTCGCTGTCTGACCCATGGTTACAACCATTATACTTTCAAAATGAACACAATTACTAACTAAGCATAATCACTGGACAGAACAGTGTCAAACACCCACGTAACTTAAATTATTTACTGGTAAATATTACCAAGAAGTCTCATTGAGGTCATGTGACCGGAAGTCAAATAGTACCGGTAGAACGCGATAAATATTCATTAAATTAGTACCATGATTTTTATATTTAAACACTTTTGGTAATGGCTGCTGTTTTTAAATGTACTTTCTAAATAAATTGGATGTGATTCTCCTCAGCACTGCTCAAATGAGCAGCAGGGAGGAAGGAAGGGGGAACAGCCCCTCCCTCCCATTGTCTCCTCCGCTCTGTTTAATGTTCCTGTTTAAGCTTAAATGAGATACTGGTATTTAAACACATTTACCGTACACAGAAAGATTTTTTTTTTTAAATGTACCAGTCTACTTTAAAAATAAATCTGATGACTTGTCCACTGTTGAGCTCTCATGGACGGAAGGGGAAGACTCCTTCTGTTTTTCTGCTTCGTGTTTGGATGGGACTTTAAAATGAGATCCCGGTATTTAACACAGAAAGATGTCACACAAAGAATTTAAAAACTTTTAATAAATCATGTACCAGATTTGACTGCTTTTGCTTCTCGAATGCCCGACCATCAACATGATGCAACTTACGGGCTTCAAGCTGTTTCCTCCTCGACAGCCGATCGCTTTTACCATGAAAGCTGCGTCATAAGAAATTCTCCGTGTGTTTTCCATTACTGAACAAATTAACAGGTCTGTGCATGAAGCGCAAAATACGATAAACACGGGAACGATCTGAAGAAATTCACGTCTATCTTAGGGGATGGTCCTCGAGAGTACCTCATTGGTCATTCAGGTTAGACTTCTGGTCACATGATGACAGTGGGTGGAGTTATGGTTGGATATTTGAAACCTTGTACACCTGAGGGCATTCCCTGTGTCAAACACCAACACCTGCCCCCATGAGGGAAAGGGTGCTGGGAGCCACGAGCGCCCAGCTCTGTCAAAAGGAAAATGTTAGTGGCAGGAAGCTACCGAGAGACAGCAGGAAGTTCTTCAAAATAAAATATAAAAATTTTGAAAATTATGAAAAAAACAAAAAACAAACAAACAAAAAAAACATAAATAAGAAGCTCCTGCATATAAACCGCAGGGAACAAAGTGTGAGAACAAAGTAGCAGCTTCTACAATGGCAATTACGGCAAATAATAATATTTATTACTAGAAAAACAAGCGCAAAAGTCTGACGTGGCAGCACAACTTACAGTACATTTCCTAGGAGACACGGAGGGAGGACAGAACACAATGCCATACAAGACGAAGAGGAACACAGAGACTTATATACAGACGCTAATGAACCGACAGTGACAAACACCTGGGGAAGGACAATCAAGAACAGGTGGTAGCAGCAGGAGCTGAGATAGACCACAAGGGGGAGACACACTAGGGAACACAAATCCTCACAGTATAATTTATATAAAATATATTTATTCTGGGGCAGCACGGTGGCGCAACTGGTAGAGCTGCTGCCTCTCAGCGAGAAGGTCCCTGGTTCAAACCCCGGTCCAGGGGCCTTTCTGGGTGGAGTTTGCATGTTCTCTCTGTGCATGCGTGGGTTTTCTCCGGGTGCTCCAGTTTCCTCCCACAGACCAAAAACATGCATGTTAGGCTGATTGGTAACTCTAAATTGTCCCTAGGTGTGAGTGTGAGAGTGAATGGTTGTTTGTCTCGTTTGTCTCTATGTGTCCCTGCGATGGACTTGCGACCCGTCCAGGGTGTACGCCGCTCCTCGCACAGTGATTGCTGGACATGGGCACCAGCGACCCCCGTGACCCAAAATGGAATAAACGGGTAAAAGATAATGGATGGATGGATGGATGGATATTTATTCTATAATGTCAGACACAAACTGTATCCTTAAAACATATATTTAACTGTCAGATGGCACCTTGCTGCTCTGAATCAACCAGCACATGGAGGATGTTTGGATTTTATTGAAGCTCATCGTTTTTACAATATTCCGCTGTTTTACTGCATGTTTTCCTAATTTTGTGTAATGAAATATAATAAACGAAGCGTACCTGAAACACAAGTATGAATTTATTGTGTTGCTCGCCTGCAGTGTCACTGCAGAGCATGACATCCTACAATCAGCTAATTTAGTTCATTAGTCTCCAACTCAAACTTTCCTTCATTCGAGTCGTTATTGTTCCCTAAATCATTTGAACTTTTAGTTTAATATTTATTAAAAAGTATTTTCTTGAAATCTTCTAAAGCAATAACTGAAGGTCTTCCTCATGTTCACACGAGATTTATTCTGTGAGCGCAGCGCGTGCTGCTTAAACATTCAGAAGTTTCAGCGCCTCCTCCTCGCCCTGCTCACACCCTGCAGAGCCTGCAGTCCCTCTCTCTGGCTGACTCGAGGCTTCGCCAGCGAGGCACCGTGCTGGTCAACGCCCTGGGATCCAACGCCTGCCTGAGGAAGGTGGACCTGAGCGGCAACCTGCTGGAGGACTCCGGGGCCAAAATGCTTAGCAAAGCTCTGCAGATCAACACCACACTCAGGTCTGTGCCCGTGTGAACGTGAACATGAATCAGTTTGATCAATAATTGAAGGTAGCAGCAGGAGCAGGATTCAAAAATACACGTAAATAAGATCACCCAAACTTTTTATGACTTATACGTCGTTAAAAGAATCAGCAGGAAAAAGAAATGGTGCTTTGGGTGTGCACATGTGAGAGGAAAAGATGCAGATAGAAATGTTTGAGATTAGAAGGATAGAAGTGGAAGTAAAGAGAGAAGTGAAGCAGCAAAGGAGGACAAACTGAAGAAAGGGTTGCGATGGAGGGAAAGAGTGAATATAGACCAGAACAGGGAGGGACAGGAAGACCTCCCAGGGAGAGAGGCTGAAATTTCTAGGGCAGAACGAGTTGGGGGGGAAGAATGAGAGATAAGAGGATGAAGAACAGAGAAGATGAGAAACTGTCTGCATGTATGAAGAGTTGGGCTGTGTTGGGTGCACGTGACGGATGTGTGCTGAGAAAACACGCACTGCATGGATACTGTTGTTGTCATCTAACTCTGATATAAACCATCAGCTCTGTGCAATAACACAGATCCAGACTGTGTGTGTGTGTGTGTGTGTGTTGGAGGTGTGTTAGTTTGTTTGG